CAGTCACTTAAGCTTCAGACTCTTGATTTCAGCTTAGGTCATGATCTCAGTGTCGTGGGATCGAGCCCCATGTCAAGCTCTGCCCAGTGGGGAGTCTTAAAAAAATCTTAAAAAAATGTATACTATAAACCCTAAAGCAACCATGGAAAGAATAAAACAAAGAGTTATGGCTAATATTCCAACAAAAGAGGTAAAATGGAATCATACAATACACAATAAATCCAAAAGAAGACAGAGAGAGGAAAAAATAACAGATGAGACAAACAGAAAACAAATAGGAAGATGACAGACCTAAACTTAACCATGTCAAAAATCATACTACATGTAAGTAGTATATATATAACCAGTTAAAATACAATGATTGCCAAATGCATTAAAAAATCAAGATGCAGGGTGCCTGGGTGCCTCAGTGGGTTAAGCCTCTGTCTACGGCTCAGGTCATGATCTCAGGTCCTGGGATCGAGCCCCACATCGGGCTCTCTGCTCAGCGGGGAGCCTGCTTCCCCCTCTCTCTCTCTGCCTGCTTCTCTGCCTACTTGTGATCTCTGTCTGTCAAATAAATAAATAAAATCTTTTAAAAAAATCAAGATGCAATTAATGTTGTCTTCAAAACGTGTGCTTCAAATATATGGATACAAATAGTTCAGAAGGATGAGAAAAGATTTACCATGATAACAATGAATTGAAGAAACTTGAAGTGATTACATTACTATCAAACAAAGCAGACTTCAGAAAAAAGAATATTACCAGGATAAAGAAGTTCATTTTACAGGGATAATCAAGAGGACGCAGCAATTCTAAACATTTATGCCCTAATAACAGAGCTTTGAAATGCATGAAACAAAACCAATATTTTAATTAGGTCAACTTGCAAAAATAAATAGAAATATTCACAGTAAGAGCTGGAGATTTCAGTATCCCTCTGTCGATACCTGATACAAGAAGCAGACAGACAATCTGCAAAATATAGTAGACTTGAATGATACTACCAACCAAGTCTACCTAATTAAAACTATAGTATATTCTGGGTCATGAAACTAGTCTCAATAAATTAAATAGGATTTAATTCATTCAAAGTGTGTTCTCTGACTATAGTGGGATTAAATTGGAAATAAATGAATAAATGGCTAAGATAGGGGCTCCGGGGTAGCTCAGTCCATTAAGTGTCAAACTTTGGGTCAGGCTATGCTCATAGGGTCCTGGGATAGAGTCCCGTGTTCAGTGAGGGTCCCTGCTCAGTGGAGACTGCTTCTCCTTCTCCCTCTCCCGTTTCTGCTCTCTCTCTCTTTCTAAGAAATAAATAAAACCTTAAAAAATAATGGCTAAGATATTTCCAAAATTGATGAAAACTATAAACCCACAAGTCTGAGATGCTCAATAAACACCCATCATAAGAACCATAAAGAAAGCTATACCAATGCCCCTCATAATCAAAAGCAGTGATAAAATTCACAGAACATTCTACACAGTGACAGTAGAATACACATTCTTCCCAAGTGTACATGGATCATTTACCAAGATGGAACATATTCTGGGCCATAAAACAAGCCTCAATAAATTTAAAAGGATTTAATTCCTACAAAGTGTGTTCCTTGACCACAGTGGTATCATATTAGAAATAAATAAGACCTCTAAAAAAAAAAAAAAATCCCCAAATATCTGGAAACCAAACCCGCATTCTTCTAAATAACAAGAGGCCATTGAAGATATTCAAAAGAGGAATTTTGAAATCTTTTGAAGTAAATAAAAATGAAAACACAACATGTGAGAATTTGTGGGATACTACTAAATCAGTACTCCGGGGGAAATTTTATCTACTAAATGCCTGTATTAGAAAAGAACATCTCTAAACAGTGATCTCAGTTTCTATCCTAAGGAACTAGAATAAGAAGAACAAATGAAGCCCAAAGAAAAAGGAAGAAAAGAAATAATAAAGATAAAAGATAAAGATAATAAAGATCATAGCAGAAGTCAATGAAATAGAAACCAGAAAAACAACAGAGAAAATCACTCAAACCGAAAGCTGGTTCTTTGAGAAGCTCAAAAGCGACCAACTTTTAGCCAGACTAATTAGAAAAAAAAAAGAGAGAAAGGCACCAGTTATTAATATCAGGATAAAAGAGGTAACAGCACTGTAGACCACATGTTAAGAGGGAGATAAGGAAATATTTTGAACAACTATGTCTACAAACTTGACAACTAATAAAAAAAAAAAACAGGCAGACTAATAAAGATAGGCTAAAACTATCTTTATTAGCAGATGTCATGAACATCTATAAAGAAAATCCGATGGAATCTACAAAAAAGCTACCAAAAATGATAAGTGAGTTTAGGAAGGTTGCAGGATTCATGAGCAATATACAAAAACAAATTGTATTTTTATATACTAGTAATGAACACTCAGAAATTGAAATAGAAAGATACCATTCACAATTACATCAAATACTATGGAAGATTTAGGGACAAATCTGACAAAAGACCTGTAGGCTGAAAACTATAAACACTCCTGAGAGAAATTAAAGATGACTGAAATAAATGGAGATTATATTCTGTGTCCTGGGTCTGTCCATATTGCTAAGTTGTCAGTTCTTTCCACATTGATCTATAGATTCAGTGCAATCCTAATGAAAGTCTCAGCAGGTGTTTTTTGTTTGTTTGTTTGTTTGTTTTGTTTTGTTCTTTTTTTTTGAAATTGACAGAAGATTCTAACATTTATATGGAAATGCAAAAAGTAGAATAAACAAAACAATGCTGAAAAAGAACAATCTAGAGTCTGTTCTGATTTCAAGACATTCTAAAGCTGTAATAGTCAAAACAGTACGTTATTGGAAAAAAGGCTAACAAATAGATCAATGAAACAAAATACAAAATATCTAGAAATAAACTCATGCCTATATGAACTTCTGATTTTTGAAGACCACTTTGGAAAACATTTTGGCAGTACCTTAAAAAATTAAGCATATCTACCACAGGACCTAGCCATTTTGCTTCATTTACCCAAGAAAAAAGAAAGTATGTGTATATACAATGACTTGTACATGAATGTTCAGTGCATTTATTTGTAATAGTCCCCAAACTGGTACAACCCAAATGCGCATCAACAGGTGAGTGGATCATTTTGCAACATATATATGTATCGAAGCATTCTATTGCACTCCTTAAATTTACAGGGTGTTATATGTTAATGATATCTCAGTAAAGCTAGAAAAAAATGGGGGAAAAAACCCCACAGGGGAATTGAAAAACAATTTAAGTTACCTCCATACAATGGAATACTTGAAGAGTAAAAAGGAATGGGCCACTGATACACGCAACAGCATAGATGAATCTCAAAATAATTATGCTTATCAAAAGAAGACATAAAGATGGAGCACCTGGGTGGCTCAGTTGGTTAAATGTCTGCCTTTGGCTCAGGTCATGATCTCAGGGTCCTGGGATAGAGCCCCGCATTGGGCTCCCTGCTCAGTGGGGAGTCCGCTTCTCCCTCTCGCTCTACCCTTTCCCCCTACTCTTGCTCTCTCTCTAATAAATAAATAAAATCTTTCAAAAAAAAAAAAAGAAAACAAAAAAACATTATCTACTGCAGGATTCCGTCTATACACAACTCTAGAAAATGTAAACTGCTCCATTGTGAGAAAATGCAGATGTACAGTTGCTGGGTATACGCACTTTCTTGATTTTGGCGATCATTTCATGGCTTCTATACATGTTAAAACTTACAAAACTGTATACTTTAAACATGTACAGTCAATTATTTCTCAATACAGCTGTTTTAAAAAAATCCAACAAAAACCATGCCCAGTCTGAGTCTTCAATCGATTAAAGCTCTGCGTGTGTGTGTGTTCAGGGAGCCACCCTTAACATTTTGGGACCTATGGGAAATGTACCAATGTAGGTTCCCTAACCCATATATAGTCTGCCCCCATTGTCTTTCTAGGCCAGGCATCCTGGGCACCCCTCAGATTTAGGGTGATGTATCTGGACAGAAGGGGCTCCCACCTTCTGGGCCCTGGAAGGCCCTGGAAATGGGCATGGGCTCTGAGATCCTGGACATTGAGACTATAACCTAGAATAGAGAAGTTCTCTCCAGATGAACATCTCTAGGTTCACAGGCTCCCTGCCTTGGCCAAGGGTGTGGTTTGAGGGGGACGGTGTAGAGGCCTTGAAGGCAAGGATAGTCTGCAAGGGGGTAAGGTCAAAATCGAGAATGCTTTAGAGCAATCTGATATCCAGGCATGGGATCATTTCTCTAGCAATTCATGTTCACTGCACTTTACAAAAGCAATGTATCTTCCAAAGATTGGATACAAATAAAAAACAATATAGCAAAAAACCAGTCCATCACCACAGATTACTGAGAGACTGCTTTATTTTATTTTTATTATTTTTTAAAAGATTTTATTTATGTATTTGACAGAGATCACAAGTAGGCAGAGAGGCAGGTAGGGGGTGGGGGCAGGAAGAAGGCTCCCCACCGAGCAGAGAGCCCCACTTGGGGCTTGATCCCAGGACCCTGGGATCTTGACCTAAGCCGAAGGCAGAGACTCAACCCACTGAGCCACCCAGGTGCCCCTGAGACACTGGCTTTAAAACACGTGGCTCTGAGCAGAGGCCCCTAAGTAAGATTGGTTTGGAATTATGGGAGAGGTGGGGGAAACTCTGTGAAACAAGATTTCCAGGATGACTTTTTTGAGATTTCAATCCCAATCTGACTGCTCCATCTTTGCGTCTTTCTGGAATATTCTGTGTGGAGTATGAGCTGCCTTTAAGGCCATGGTAGTTGTCAGTGAGTGTGAGTCCCTTGCAGGTGGCTGTCTTTCTTAGAATTTGAGAAGAGCTGCCTTTTGTTTAAAATTTTTACATTTTTTTAACAGCCGTGGAAAAGATTGTGGCCATTTTTCTTTGGACAGGAAAATCTAGGCAATACCATTTGTGCCCCCCCAGCCCCACTCCAGTCCGTCTGGGGTCATTCACTGAATGTAACAATTGGGGCATCTTACCTTGTGCACACAGGACTTGGCGTTCAGGAAAAACAGCTCCACGGTGGTTTTATCCTTTAAAAACGTTATGCTTTCAATGTAAAACCTGAAAAATAGTACAAAAATTGGTGTTTTTAGATTTCTTCCCTCCCTCAGCATGATGTCATGTCTTCATTTAGCATCCCCAAAAGCAGAGAGGATTTTGAAGAACTAGGAAACGGTTGTGCTTTTTTTTTCCTTTTAAAAGAAGTCTGTAACACATACGTATGTCTACGTGTATGTACAAATACTCATGGATATGAATGTAGGCATACATGCAGTTAAAATCTCTTAACAGAGAGTTTTTGTGTGTTGGACGGTGAATTCAAGAGAAATCCGAAATGGATTCCAGCTACAAACCCAGCTTTATCTGTGTTGATCATTCTTGGACATGTGTTCTGGGAGGTCGTAATACCCAGCTTCAAAACACAGCCCAGGTGAGCTTTGAGGGCTGAAAGTAGAAGTCGACTGAGTGAGAAGTACATAATGGAATGCTGACGCCCTGGGTCTCAGACTTGAGTTGTGAGGGCCCCACGCCCACCTTGCCAGGCACCCACCAGCCAAATTTCAATCACACCCCACTTCTTTCTTGTCATCCTTCCAGGCCAGGGTTTTCTCTTGGCGGGAAGCCAAGGCACTTAACCTTGGACTTTTTTTCATGCAAATGAGAGTATTCTAGGCCTCTCCCCACCCCCTTCCCTGGGCTTTAGTCCTGGCTCCCTGGAGAGCTCCGAAAGCCCCTTGTAAGGAGGGGAGGGGAGTCCTTCACTATTCTCGTCTGTTCTCAAAATCTCCTAATGATGAGGCTGGCCGGGGAACTCGAAGCTCTGGGTGGGTGAGCGGCCCAGATGAGGCACAGAAGTTTTTCTCAAGTTTGGAGACTTGCTTGATGAATAATGCATGAAGAGACCTAACACCCCAAGACAGCTCACAGGTCGGCTCCTGGAAGAGAAACTGTCGTGGCTCGGGGAGCCTGGTGTTAGCTGCACACCATCGTGAAAGCTCTTTGGCATCTGTCCTCCACGCTCTTCCCCCTCAACAAGGGCAGGATGTTGGATAAATAAATGAAACTGAAAAGGACCGTGGATGATTTTATCACGGTGATGGCAAAATCATTGGAAAAATTCCACCTCTCATGTTGAATCATCAAGGGGAGTTCCAGAGAGAGAATAAATCCTTTATATTTTTCCCTACAAGGGTTTATCTTATAAGTGAGATTAAGGAAGACTGACGACGGCTAGTTTGTGGGGAAGGAAAGTGAAGGACTCAGACACGGAGGAGAGCGTGGGGCTTGGGGGAAACAGGCTTTGGAACTGGAAAGGTCCAGATAGGGACTCCCTCCTCTAACCATTTATTAGCTGTATGGCCTTACGGGCACGATCATCAGCTTCTTTGTGTCTCTTCTAAAATGGATGTCATGGTTGCACTCATGTCATGGTTTGGGGGGTCTTGAAAGGATTAAACTAAGTAATATATGGGAAACACTCAAATATTAACAATTGTTAATAAAAACCCATTCTCTGGAATTAAATGCTGTGTGGCGGCGGGGTGGGGGCCACAACTAGGCTTTGAGTGTAAGATCCCAGACCTCCAGAGGCCTTGGCAGCAGGACTCAGGGGTGCCCCCGGCTTTGTGGCCCTCGGGGCAGTGACTCGCTTGCTTCTGTGCGCTCAGCTCCCACTGCGGACTTGCCCTTCTTTCTCTGACTGGTGGCTTCTGCTTCCTGCCTCCCTCTGCCTCCATTGTTTCTCTGTCACTCCCTCTGAGGGATCAGGAGCTTGGTTGGTCCACTGCTTGTCCCACATAAGGAGCCTCTCTGGGGTTGAGCGCTCTTCCTTCCAGGCCAGGCAACTTAATGGCTGCATCCTGAAGGAACTTCCGGTTCAACTAGGTGGTGATGGTGCCAGTTGCTTTCTCTCTTTGCTTCTACAAGTACTTTATCCCTGTCAGCTGAGGTAATGGGAGCTTCCTGAAAGGGGCAGCTGCAGTGGGCCAGCTACAATCTCCTGAGCTCTTTCTTATGGCTAGCCAGGCGCTAAGCGCCTTCCATGTTTTGTCTCATTTCATTCTCAACAATCATTTCACTTAATCTTCAGTACAACCAGACGCCACAGGTAGCAAATTATAAGCCCATTTTACAGATGGGGAAACAGAGATGGAGAGGTCAAGTCATCTTCTCTAAGCTCTACAGGTAGGAAGTGGTGGAGCCATGATTCGAACTAAGGCCTCTCAGACTTCAAAGTCCACGTTCCAAACCCATGCGATATAATGCTTTCGCACAATAACAATCACAATGAAAAGTAACACGCACACAATGCCATGGGGCCCGAAGGAGGGTTGCAATTAGCTCGGCTTACGAATCAAGAGGGAGAAGGTTGCCAAGCTTGAAATCCGTAGCCCTAAGTGTCACAGGGCACGAAACGTCCCCTTGGACAACTGAGCCAAGTCTTAAAGAATGCATGAATTCACCAGGTAGGGAGAGTTCACCATTCTAGGGAGAGGACATATCAGCCAGACCAGTCCTCTTGCTAATCTTCAGGAATTCAAGAGACCACATGCAGGGGGCTGGGTGGCTCAGCCCTAAATCAGCTTGTGGCTTGCCCAACTCTGAACATACAGCTTTGTACCAGAAACTGGGTTCACCTTGTTTCTGCAGCCCAAGTCCCCGACTATACCTTCGTTCCAGTAAACAAGCCCCTATCTTGTTTCCCACCACTTTCTGGCAACCTGCCTTGCTGCCTTCTACCTTTCTTCTTCAGCATCTGATTACCTGCTTTCTCAACCCAGAATCCTATCTCTCCCTCAAGGGGGCCATTGTAATGGCTTCATATTTATGGAGCGTATGAAAAGAGAGTGTCGTCCTTTGGGAGAACAGCTCCCCAGGCACACCTATCAACATGTATCATGAAGTGAAAACAAAATCTAGGGCTTCTTAATGAAATAAAATGAACTCTCCCAGACTTGTAAAATAAAGACCTTTTGTTCCAGCCCCTTTTTGGCAAAAGGATACTGTTTCCTTTCTGCATGCTTACTGTGAGTGATTTTCACCAAGATTTTGTGAACTTGAAGCCCCAGTTTCAATTTCCAGCCCTTAAATGAGCTCAGGCTTTCTGACTAGGCATATGTTTCAGAGACAAACCTCATACAGCTTAATAAGTACAATTTCTTGAGAAGAGAGTTTGCTTGGAGAGGTTTTGTCTCTAGTTTATGTGCTCCCCCCAGCTATCTTTGTCCCTTCCTGACAGGACAGGTGTTCACCTAACCACTTAGCAACGATAACAGAACATCACATTTCAGTGATGTGACAAAGATGGCTTGGGGAGGGGCAGGCCTATTGGCCTGATGACAACACAGGTTTTGTCAAAAAGCATTAGAACACAGGAGTTGTTTGGAAAGGACCATTCTTCAATAGTCACTTACGTGTAGGTGGCCAATATTTTCTTCTTGGGGCATTTATTCATGGTGACCAAAAGTCAACACCATGGAATTGGTGAGAGAGCCCCATCCTGGGATCTTTACCTGGCTGTGCAGCTGCTCAGTGCTCCCCTGCTTCACCTGCCCCACACCCCAGAGACATGAGATGTTTTAAATGCGCTCAACAGAGTGGATGGCATGTCACTTAGTAGCCAATGGGTGGTGGGCATTATTACTAGATTCTTCTTCTGTGGATGGGACCATAATGATAGGCACTGGCTAAGCTGAGAAGCTTTTTAAAACTTTACTATGTGTTTTTCCTAAGCTCTTTCTCTCAAGGACACAAAATGCTCCCCAGGTGTCCTTTTTTTTTTTTTTTTTTTTAAGATTTTATTTATTTATTTGACAGAGAGAGATCACAAGTAGGCAGAAAGGCGGGCAGAGAGAGAGGAGGAAGCAGGCTCCCTGCTGAGTAGAGAGCCTGATGAGGAGCTTGATCCCAGGACCCTGAGATCATGACCTGAGCCGAAGGCAGAGGCTTAACCCACTGAGCTACCCAGGTGCCCCCAAGGTGTCCATTTTGACCCAGAACGGGAAAATGCTGTGAAACAAAAATCCTTCTGCCCAGTTACGACTTGTTCTCCACAACTAAACCTATTTCATTTTCCAGGGCCTTCCTTATGTCTCAGTGGTATCTTTAAAGACAGCGAATCGGGCAAGAATTGCTCAATGACCTCGCATTCTGAACAATGCTGGGCTTGGGAGTGGCGTCCGGTGAGGGCCTCCTTCTGGGTTTCGGTCAGTCATTGTAGGTAATTTCTGGCACTTAGCGCAGCTGCAGGCCCAAGGAGATCCCTATCAGATCCCAGTCCACATTTGGAGCAGGGAGATCTCTGCTTATTGCTTGTAATGACCCTGCCACACCGTCGTCTCACTTTATAATGCGTGCTGAAGACAGCAGTGTAATTGAAGAATACTGTACTTTCTCCAAGCCATTATGCAGGGCTCGTGGGAGTCCCAGATGCTCCTTTCATCTCTGGGAGGGGTGACGTCTGAGAGAATTCCCCAAGGAAAGCACTATTTGCTTCCACAGTGTGCTCCCCTGCCAAAAGACATTCCCCCACTTCTGAATTTCCAGGCATCTCTAGGAGAACCAGCGAGGGCCCTCCAGATAAGCCTGTAGGAACCTGCCCTTTTGCTCACAGCTGCGGTGTGGCTCTTTCTGAGCTCCCCAGGGATGGGCTAGAGGCCCAGGAGGGTAAGGGCCTTGCTGTGACCTGTCCGAAAGGGTTCTAAAGAAGTCTTCTGCCCCAGGCAACCTGTAAGAATCCAAGTGTGAATTTTTCCCTTCCAAACTGCAAAACAGCCTGCTCCCATCCTCCCCGAGCAAAGGAGGGACACAGGCTTTGAGAAGAGGGCAAGAAGGGAGGCAGGAAAGGGGAGATGGGGGTGGGGAGGATGGCTGGGCACCGTGAATGACAAAGACAAACGATGAGATCTTCCACCTAGGGCAACCATGAATGGGTCTGACCTAAGCCAGACAGTCCCAAACCTCCCACATTTGAAGACCATATATCATGTTATGGAATTTTTTTTTTTTGACCCATTCCATATGTGATTAAGGCAGTCTCTTCATTTATATCTTAATAACCG